CCATCCATCCATCCATCCATCCATCCATCCATCCATCCATCCATCCATCCATCCATCCATCCATGTGCACTTATTGTTTCTATTATTTCCAACTTTTCATAATCACAGTAAATCTAAATGAATACAGAATTTCTGTTTTGCAGGATATATTGCATTGAGCACTAACCTGTTTGAGGTTCTGCTTTGTTAAAGATGTCTGGGCAGCCCCCCCAGTACTGGACGGCTGTCTTTCCATGGTAATCTCTGATAGTGGTTTTAGCATCTGTAGCAACATAAAGCAAAAAAGGCCTTTAAGGTGACATGAAGGAAAACTGAAAGAAAGTAAGGCTGAAATTAGATTTAGAAAAAGATCATCTGTACATTTTACTGCTTTTTATGACAAAGTTTGAACTGCAGGATCACCTGCTCTATTTGGATAGATATGGGGATCCAGCAGACCGGAAGTTTATCTCCAAAACCACGTCGTTGCATGATTACACCAAATTGCATGCATAGCCGGGTCATTAAAGCTCAAACTAATCAAATACTGAAGCCTGTAGCTGGCCTCCATTAACAAATAGTTAGACATCTGCTTGAGAAACTACCTTAAACCTCTTTAACCTCCATAAATATGCTTAAGAAACGGCTCAAAAGCCTCAGAGAGGCGGTGAGTAATTATCAGAGTAGAAACATGAAGATGAGCAGGGTTAAAGGTCAACACCTTCTTGTGATTGAGGAGAAACTGCAGCTTTTCAGCCTGAATAACAGAGAAATAATGTGCAGGTTCACTCCTGCACAGCCAGAGCCTTAACCCACCAACCAGAACTGAGAATCCATTTATCAATCACACAATTCCGCCTTTCAGAAAGCTGCAAGCTGAAAGGAAACAGACCTCAGATGTTGGTGAATAATCTTTAGGAGATAAAAGTCCAAAGATTCCTTAGATAAATTCTTTAGCATAATTCTATATGGGACTATTTTCAGTCATACATGGAGCCAACTTTAACAGGACAAAACATTCTCCTGTTTCCAGAGTGTCTGCAGAGCGATAATGAAGGCCAAAATGGACCATTAATATGTTCATGTTGCAGAGAAACGTGAACAATCTTATATGCATGTTCTTATATGCATGTTCTTATGTGCACAAACTGTAAAAAGAAAAAAAAAATGAGTCTGTCTGCTTTACCAGAACCTTTAAGCTCTTCTGTTTTAATTTCTATTTCTGCATTTATGTTTTTTTTTTTCTCTTCTGCAAGCTGCACCTATATTCCACACTGTGCTGATGTTCCACCTAAAGCAGCTGGCAGAATATATTTGAGTAGCCTTTTCCAGTGGAGGAAGAGGGTCTACTATCGTGCCACCATCATGTTCACCATAGTGACTAAACCCCTATAAACCTCTGGTAACTTCTTACAGCCATAACAGAAAAGAGAAGACAAGCAAGAATAATCCTTTATTTTTCCCTATGTGGGAAAGTTGCAGCGTCCTTGGAGCAACATGATATGAACACACACTTTGTTGCCTAAGCATGAGTGTCAGCAGTTTAACATTAATAAATTGCCATCATAAAAATATACCACGATCAGCTCAATGTAGGGATTTTGCAGGTCCTCATCCTTTCAATGACCTACGCTATGCATCTAACTTTAAATCAGGAGTTTATTTTACAAACACAAGCAGTATGAAAAATATCCTAATTTTCCGTCCCTTTGCAATCATGCTTTTATTGGAATCAGTGTGGATAAATGTCTAACTCCTTGGTATGGATTGTAAAACTGTTGTGGTTCTGAAATCATGTTTCTCTCTGCCTGAGATGTAGTTTGATCTGTTGTGTTTAACTTTCAGAGTTTTGGGAAGTAAAATCAGGACACATGCGGCTCATGTTGGTGTCCCACCTGAGGAGGCTGGAGGCTGAGTGGAGCAGCTAATGGTTACCAACGGTAACCGACTCTCCTCATTACACACACTTTAACTCCCACCCTCATCCTCCCACCAGCGTTAAAACACAGAAATCCAAGCTGCTCTCAGCAGCAGAGAGGAGGACGCGTGTCCCTTAAACACACTTTACATGAAACAGGATCTTTAAACTCCAGCTGAGGGAAACTAAACTCTCCACTGCAGCAGTTTGTGCTTTTATTTCAAGAAAATTACACCCACAGATCTAAGAAGTTAGGAAAAAATCCCCACTTTTAGCTGTTAGATGGTTCAGGGGTTCTTGCACGTACAAACATTTCCTAGTCACCCCAACAAGGTTAGGCTTAGGGTCAGTCACTCACTGTCAGTGACATCATTTAAGGGTTTAATGAGGACTTTTCTGATTTCTCAGCCACTTTTGGTTTATTAAAGTTTGGCTTCTGCTTAAATAGTTTTACAGATTTGACCAATTTGTGCTCAAGCTCCCTCTGATACACTCCAAACATAATCTAGAAATAAGTGAAAATGTCTTAATTTAAGTGAATTTACTCCTAATTTGAGCAGGAAAGTACGATCGTTTGCCAATGGAATGAGTATTTTTACTCTTAGAATAACATAGTTAGGTAATATATACTTGAAATAAGAAAATGCAGTTGTTTTTTCTTATTTTAAATTGTCTTGTTTCCTTGGAAAAGTGTCTCATTTACCCCCTCAATTCAAGGGGAAATGCATTTCTTTTAAAGGGGAAATGACTTATTTTATATTTTGATTTTTTTGCAGTGTACATGTCAGAACAAATGTTGGATTTTATGTTGCTCCCCTGCATTTCTTAACCATCACACCTCCACCTCTGTGCTTCCTTTAAGCAGAGCTAAATAAACTTGTTTGGTGCTTCAAATGTTACAGGACTCCTTCAAACATTACAGTTTATAGTTTTTGATAAATGTAAAGTAAAACCATGAAAAAAACCCAGAATGATTACATTTTCTTTTATGTGATCTTGATATTGAATTTGATATAAAAAAAAAAAAAAAAGAAAAAACAAATTTCCAGCCCAAAAAAAACTAAATTAGATTTGCTAATTGAAAACTCGGATGGGAACTTTCTTTTGGCTCAACAGCATCTGCTTTTTGGGTCGGCCTGTGTTAACATTCATCTATGAGC